AACCCCTAAATATTGAGGACCAAAATAAAACAAATTAAAACCAAAATAAAAATTGATAATTTGTAAAATTAAGGTTAAATCCCTCATTTGATCCTGAATTATTATACGGACCTTTGATTTGATCTTTGAATTAAAAAAATCTCTAATTTAATCTCTAAATTATTGTACGGATTTCCAATTTGATCCCTACTGTTTACTAATTTACCCCAAGTTATCCTTTGATATAAAAACAACTGACGTGTTTCATTATTAATATGATATGTGACCGTTAAGTTACTGCTTTTTATCGTTAAGCTATTATTTTTTTGTTATTAAATACTAGATATGTCAGTTTTTTTTTGTACGAAAAAACTAATTTGAGGCAAATTGGTAAACAGTAAAATCAAATTGGGCGTCCATACAATAGGTTAGGGACCAAATGAGGGATTTGTTTACTTCAGGGATCAAATCTAGGGTTCATACAATAGTTCAGGGATCAAATTGGGTAGTTAACCTAAAAATAATTTCTTTTCATTTTTAAATTTTAACCATCCCCCATATGCACAGGACAGTGGGACACTGCCTGAGAGGCTTACAAACCCCAGTCTTAAGGAGTTGCAGACACGGACACCGTCTTTATCTCTCTTCATTATTTTGAAGCTTAAAGTTTCTCTCTTTTTTCTCTGTAATGCTTATTTATTCCTATCTTAGTTTTTTTGCTTGAAAGTTCCAACTACAAGCAGACGGAACGAGGGAAATTGCAGAAGATCCAAGCTTTTTTTTTTTTTTGCTTTGATTTGGTGATTTTAGCTTAAATTTTCTTACTTTGAGCTATAAAGGGGCAGAGAGGGAGGGGTTCCAGTTGGAGGGTTTTGTTTCTTTTAGCTAGGATTCATAGTTGTTGATTTATTGCTGCAGAAGGAGAGAAAAGCAGATGGGTACTGCTCATCAAGAAGAGATCAAGCAATTCCAGGCATTAATGGAAGATGGTGAGCTTTAAACATTGAGGATTCATTTAACTTTGTTGGGTTTTCTTCTTTGATCTGCAATCACTAAATGACACTCTGAAGCATACATTTAAGGTTGGTTTTCTTGCTGATTCAGTTCATTGGATTAATTTTCAGCTTGGACGCTGTGAAATGGAATTAAAT